AGAGAGAGAGAGAGAGAGAGAGAGAGAGAGAGAGAGAGAGAGAGAGAGAGAGAGATCTGGGGGTAGAGGAAGCTTACCTGGTGTTTGACGGGCATAGCCACGTTGACGGAGAGGATAGAGAGAGAGAGAGAGAGGGGGAGAAAGAGAGAGAGGCCTGAGGGTAGAGAAAGCTTACCTGGTGATTGGCGGGCCTAGCCACGTTGAGGAAGAGAAGACCAAGTCTGTAAGGGGCCGACATTCTTCAATCAAGGCTTCATTCTTTTGACAGAGGACCTCTGGGTCTGGTGAGGAGAGTGAGACCGGTCCTCGTTGGAGAGGCCGGCGAGAAGGTTCTTTGTTGGAGAGTAGAGTCCGCTATAGCTAGGATGGCTGTACGGCGTTGTGTTGAAGGAGAAGACTCCGGAGAAGAAGTCGAGAGAGACTGGAGGGCATTGATTACTAATTTACTATTGTAGTATTGTTACTATTTGTTAGTGATGATCGATCACAGTTGAGGGTTATTTGTTGTGTTCCGCTTCGTTCTCTTTGCTTAATTGTGCATTGACATTTGCTGCTTCTATTGATGAGTGATGATTGTTGTGCTGAAAGGCTTGGTTCAGATTGCTTTGGTCTTGATTGAGCGTCTGTTGTACGGGTCCTTTGCACAGTATGGTATTGAATTTCATATAAGAACTGATCGTTGTCACTATCGTGATGATTATGTTGAAATTACTCCCAAAAATAACAGATCGATCGTGATGATTGTGTTCAAATTACTCCCAAAAATAACAGATCGATCGTGATGATTGTGTTGAAATTACTCCCAAAAATAACAGATCAAATTGCTGCCCAAGCGGGCTAGCTCAGTTGGTTGAGCACGTAAGTGGCGCTCATGAGGTCGTAGGTTCGATACCCAACGTCGTCCTCTCGATCCCCGCGGCCTCCTGGGGGTATGCTTCGGGTTCGGGTTCACCAACGGAGACTGTTGGCTTGGGCCTCTTGGCTGGTTGTGGAAGTAAATGGTTCTTTCCAGCCCTAGCCAGGTGTTAGAAGCTTGGGTACTGCTCCCCGCACCGAGCAGAGATAGGTAGGCGTAGACCCATAACCTTAGGATATCATAGCTCTGGCTAGTGAATTTAAGTTTTGTCCTTCCTTCCACAGGTAGGTTTGTTCCTTCTAGACCTTGGACCTTCTAGTTGGTATCTGGTTCCGAGTGCTTGCCTGTCTTCTTACGATAAATTAAAAATTCCGCGCTTGTCTGGGGGATGGATGGTCCCATATGAGGAGAAGATAAACCTGCATCAAAACAACAACAACAACAACAACAACAGATCGAATTGCTGAATCCATTACTTATCCGACCAAATGAAAAATGTGTTGGCGGCGCTCGGCGCAGACAATCAGCAGGGAAGGAAGGAATGCCGGACAGGAAAGCTCGTCAGTTTGGTTCCTACTTTGTTATTGGGAATGCAAAATTGCAAATACTAAATGTTCTGCACCAGCGAAGCGTAATTGTCACAAGAAGCATGACTGAATGCTCATTCCAGCGGACCACGGCACTCACTTATCGAATATTGCAGATTGTCCTCTACCTTCTTCCGCCGAATACGACGTACGGTCATTAGAGCTGTATTTGAGCCATCTTGCAGTCTAGATACAGCTATAATTACCGTACGTTGTATTCGGGGGAAGAAGGTAGTTTTGTCGTATTATCTCTCTACCAGAAGTTGCGAATGTGTTTAGCGGTGAAGCAAAATGTCAAGAAGTTTCCTGTTCCACTTCCCTGAAATTTCCTCTGAAATTTCATGTTGTCAGGATTGTCTCGGTCCGGATTTTCCTCCCTATCTTCTTCTTTTCATGTCACTTTCATTCATGGATTCACATGGCGTGTGAACCTTGTCGAAGTTTCGTCTGTACCTTTCCCAGCTGCACCACACCAAGAGATATTCCGGTTGTAATAAAGAGGGAAGGAGGGAGGTCCTTCCCTCTTGATTTCAATCAGATCATCTCTTGGTAAGGTGACGGCACTCGTGAACTAGATACCACAGACCAGAGGAGACCTGGGGAGGGAAGGAAGGAGAGGGAGCAAAGGAAGAGGACTAGGTCGGACGGGGCTGAGTGGGACTGGGCTTTGTACCTGCATTGAAGTTCGGGGTCTTTTGGTCCGGATAAGCGGGGTGGGACTAGGCTAGACGGGACTAAGTGGGACTGGCGCAGTTCCCTTCGCTGGACCCTTGTGGTTGTGCTGACAAGGTGTGCTTTTGTTGACAGATATGCTCGCTGTTGTTGGTTTTTTTTTTTTTTTTTTTTTTTTTTTTTTTTTTTTTTTTTTTTTTTTTTTTTTTTTTTTTTTTTTTTTTTTTTTTTTTTTTTTTT